GCCACACGCAATGATAGGGGCTGGATTTCTGAATTAGCTGGTTTTCCACTAATTTCACTGTTCGTGTTTCGTCTACTGGGCAAGTTTGCACATAAAAAATAGTTCATATATCTTGAAGCATCCATACCACTGTTGCTCGTGGCTCAGGATCGAAGTACCTGATACAGTTGCGTTCGGCGTATAGGAGCATCCCTTCAGCATTTATAGATTTGTTTTAACTGTTGCTCTTAATTTACCAACACCACTTTTAACCGTCGTATTGACGAATCAGCCATCAGCTTACTTATAAGCAACTTGCAAAGGAAGAAGCCTCGACAGTGGGTGGTAGTTGGCATTTGCTACCATTCGGGTTATTTCTCGAATGCCGCCGCCTCTCACTAAGAGCGAATACTGAGGGGTGAAGGGGATTCGACTTTTGGCTTTTGACTGACACGAGGTCCAGTTGTGGTGCTGCATAGAAATGTGTGTAGTTTAATGGACCGGAACAGTCCTGTTCATTCAATTAGTTTTTTAGTACATATTTTTTTTTTTATATTTTATATATCATCATTAATATGTTCATCACTAGCATGTCACCTCCACACCGACTGCCAGTACACTTTTGGCATTCTTAGAATTGATTTGATTTGTGTCTTTTTGTTTTGTTTTGCTTTTGGCTTTTTTTAGTTCGCATAAAAAATTTAGCTCCCTTTATTCGTAAAACATTCCATAAACATTTCAGAGAAAGAAAATCAGATTTCTTTTGGGACAGAGCATTTTATGTTATGCTTTTCTCACTACATTCACGTAGCTTCACGAGAAAAAGGCTTCGTCAGAAATTGGAAGCGCCTCATGTACATATTGATATTGTCCATCCTGCCTAAACTGCGACACTGCATGCCCATTACCATCAAGTATCCATTTTGTTGTCAGTAAGCCTTCCACACCAACTGGCCCACGTGCATGGATTCTTCCTGTACTGATACCCACCTCAGCTCCTGCAAACTTAAACTTTTTGTACGTGTACTTTTCTGCATGCTGAGCCTCTTCTCTATGACACGAAAGAAATGATTACGGCTTTCCTAGGAACACACAGACAGACACACACACTACCAACTCGTGGAAATGATGATAGGATGACGCACCGAGACCAAATCTGTATCCAT